AACTTTAGAGCTATTATTTTGATTGTGGTACAAAGGAAAAATTTCAAAAGGCTCAAAGGCCGTATTTGATAGCAAAGATAAACTTCGTTGAAAGGCAAAGTACTTTTCGGTAGCTCAGGAGCTTAATATTATCTGACAAAAAAAAAATAATAATAAATATTTAGACCTGAAGAAATTAAAGCTAACTTTTTTCGGCACCCGTAAACCCTCTGACATACACAGTTTAATATGCAAACGAAATGTGTGGCAAAAGTTTAAGCAACTTTTTCGTGTAAAACAAAACAAAAATCAAAATAAGAATAAGTAAGAAAGCAAAAAAAAAAAGCGTAGGGTTGCGTCCCGCTTGACTTTTTTACGCTACATTCGCCGTTTTTCCACTGCCACTGTTGCAGCCGCAGTTTTTCGTTGTCACCATCACAATTGAGCTGCAAGGCCTACATAAACACTTTCTATATGTGTATGTATGTACATTAGGCATATGACTTGTTTTAATTAAGTATATGTACTTATGAGGAGAGGATGAGGAATGATGAAAGACTAATTAAACTTGATAAAAAAAAGTTCCCGCGGGGAACACGGAGGAAAAAATTTGTACAGAAAAAAACAACATGCATATACCTACGTACAGCAAATCTTAGCCACGCGGACGTTACGTTCGGAAGTGTCTATTAATATTTTTTGGGCAAAAAATTTGGATTTAAAAAAATTGTGTGTTTAAAAGGGAAGGTTTAAAGCGGTACTCTCGAGAGATCAAAAATATTAGTTTGCATTAATTTGTATTTGCCCTTGAAATTTGTATTTGGACGTTACTGAAAATCAAGCGATGCAGATTACAGTTGAAATTTTGTGTTCTTGGGTGTCAAATTGTAGGGCTTGACCTGTAGATGTGCGATAAAGTTTTTTTTTTAAGGGTTGCCACCTGTTACAATTAAAATTTAATTCCAATTATTTAATAAGTTAAATGAATTAGAGCATAAATCGAAATGAAAAGGCTTAAATGGCTGGCATAAATATATTAACATATCATATATATATAAATTTTGCATAATATAATTAAATTCGACTTTGCAAACAAGTGACGACCCGCTTTAAAATATTTTCAAGCTAAGCCCTACTTAAACCGCGAGTGGTTAAAAGCTATTATTCTTCGTCCGGTTCTAGCAACTCCCGACTTGCAGTGTTTTCGCGAAGTATCCTCTGGCTAGCAGTTGAGCACCTATTCAGAAGCAGTTGAGCACCTAATCTGAGAAGTCACACGCCCAGTAGAGGGTTGTGTGCTAGTCTCCGGACCCAGTCTCGGATGAGAACCTGTCCTTTTGATAACATTTCGCTCATTTGCACCCACGCCTTCACACGAAAGAGAAAGGTGAGGCCTCCAAGGATCCCCTCTATGACCGACTAGACCGCACGTACGAACGCTGACCCCGTCGCGATATCAAAATCGTGCTTGGTGATCTTGGTACATCCGTCGGAAAATTAAGCCTTACCACGAAATTTCCGATAATGCACCGAGACTGATCAACTTATTTACTGTATTTGCAAGAAAATCTTCCGAGTCCAACATTTCGACATCCTTCAGTTTGGGCACCTGCTCTTCCCTGTTTATGTATTTTTTGGCTATGTGATCTATGGTTATGGTGATGTGCCTACGCTTGACTAAATTTTTTATTTATAGGGAAATTTCGGTAAAATTTTTGGTGGATAAATTACCAAAATTAATACTATTCAGAGCTATGCTTTAGGAAGTAAGAGGGGCAACTCAGAACTACGTAGCACTATGCCATGTTTGAAAAACAAAAAATGCGAGTGTTTGGATATCAGGCATTTCTTCCGTTTTCGATTGACTGTTTTTCGGATATGCCAATACATATATTTAAAATTCTAAGTCATAATTCGGTTGACATAGAATTTTCTATATACACTGCCGGCAAAAAGGATTGGCACAGCTGCTTTTTTACAATATCTGCAACAACTTTTATTTTTATATTTTTTGGAGAATTTTTTATAAAAATATAGTTCATTCCACAACAAAAAACAAAAAAATATAATTTATAAGCTTTGTGCAAAACTTCAGCAAATTTTCATGCAAATTTTCAACTTTTTAATCAAAAGTTTTAGAATTTTTTTGAGTACGCAGATTTGTAGCTCAATCAATTTTATTGAAATAAAGTAGAAATTCTAAGTAGCTACGAATTACCTTTGATTTTTGTATTTTTTTTAAGCAGTCTCTTCCATAAAAAAAAAATCGAAAACACTTTATATGAAAAAAAATGCGAAACCCCCTTAACCAAAGAAATTTCAAAAATCGATGCTTCATACCCAAACTGCATACCCAAGAAAATTCTAAAAGATCTGATTAAAAAGTTGAAAATTTGCATGAAAATTTATTGAATTTTCGAGAGTTTTGCCCAAAGTTTAGAAATTATATTTTTGCGTTTTTGTTGTATAATGAAACATATCATTTAAAAAAAATAGCGCAAAAATATTAGAATAGAAAGTTGTGCATATATATTGTGCAAAATTCGCTGTGTCAATACTTTTTGCCGGCAGTGTACATTTGTACGAGTAAATGATTTTTTTGGTTACAGATTTTTTTCCTCAATGATCCCTGCTGGAAGTTTTTTTACGAATTTCTTACTAAATCGCAACTTCTCATTATGGGTATATTTAATTTTAGAAAAGTCATATGCCTAATATACATATGTAAGGATTAACACATTTTCAGTTATGTTTTTATTTTCATTGAAAATGTTTTCAGCTTTCTGTTTTTTGTACTTTTCATTTATTTACTTGTTTGTTTTCTTTTGACACTTGAAGGGTTGGTTCGAGTCCCTTTTGTTTTGTAGTTTTTGTACACACCGTTATTAGGGTTGCTTTTTTCCTACCGACTGCGCTCAGCTGTTCAGTGTTTTCTCATTGTGTGTCTTCATTTGCGTTGATAATGCTGTTGTTATTTTTGCTTCACTCGCAATCTTGTTTCATTATTTGTCAGTGGAGCGAAAATCCTCTCAACCTTCTACTGAAGCAGGCCTACCGCCGCCGAGGTAGCAAAAAAAACATAAAAACTTTTGAATGACAGCAAAAACAAAAGAAAGAAAAGAGTTGTTGATGTCAGTACGCGGCTTTGACACTTGAAACTGTCGAAGTGCAGAGCGAAATTGTGGCCTAAAAGTTTAAACGTATTTACAATGCTTTAATTGTATTTAATGTGTGTGTCTACAACTTTGTTGCCGAATCTCGGGTTTTTTTTTTTTTATAGTCGCTTGGGGCCGATAATGTCGCAGAATGCTGTGTAAACTTGAACGAGTGTCTCCTAAATTATGTAACAAAGATTTGTTGGTAATTTCTTTTGCATCGCTTAGTTGACCTTAGGCATTAAAATTTGGCGAAGTGATTAATAACATTGTTGTTGATATTAAAATTGACGCAATACTTTTTTCACGACCTCAATACGGATTCGAGTAAATAATAACGTCGCTTTGCTTGTTTTGACAAAAGTTGAGTGAAAGGTCAAAGGTTTTTTCGCTGGTGATGAAAAGCTGAGCTCAAGAAAGTTTTGCACTTTGACAATAACACTTTAATGACAATTTGCACATTTATGCTTAGAGAAGTTTTCGGGTCCCTTTGTGCCTAATTCGTGTCAACGAATGCGACTGCCCTTGAATAATAATGAGAAATACGATTTTAGTTAAAAAATGTATATGTAATAAGGAATTTACTTGATTCAACTTTCATAGGCGATTAGTTGAACCAAAAGTTGAACGAAAGTAGGCAGCCGACCAACTTCATTGAAAGCGATTAGTTGAAAGGCCGTTTACACCAGGCGATTGTTGCTTTCAACTAAAAATCGCCTGAAAAATCGTCACAAGTAAATTCCCTATAAGTATTTTCCATATAAAGAAATGGAAAGGAAAATATACATAGATACATATAACTGTACTTATGTACATAAAAACGAAGAGTCACATCTTAGTTGGTACATGAAAATGTAAGCTCTCGGATTTAGGAACTTATTACGCCTGTAAGTATGTATATGGTGACCGCTGTAGCCCATTTCTGAGAGGTGCATACGGCCATTCGGTAGATCGAGAGTTAAAATACTGGGAATTTGGGACGCCTGTTTAGCGGCTATGCTTTCTACTTGTAGCGTGTTGTAAGGCGTCGCTATCTGCTATCTGCATTTCTTCCGATGCAAATACGGCGTCGCTCGAGGACGTTTGTCTCCAGGGCTTCAATGTTACGCTGCTGAGTCCATAGCTCAGCCCATAAACTGTAGCAGCTGATACTGGCGATCGAGTTCTTGTCAAATACAACATCCGCATACGCTGCAGGCTTGTCTGCGTTCCTTGTCGTATTTTTTCTTTGCGCACATGGGTGGACATTAAGCCGTATCACTATATATGGGCCACACTGAAGACGTGAAACTTGCCTTACATCGATAAAAATACCGATTGCAACACCGATAAAATTATCGATACCCAAACCTATATTTCCGTCTGCAATTTCTGTTCACTTTGCCAATTTACTCCCAAGCAAACCAACTCCCAAGCAAGGAATTTCACTTCAATAAGATTTAGCCCTCGTCAGTTTTATTTGAACACTTATGTCGGGAAAAACCCGCTAAGAACAACTAATTCGCATTTTTTTGCTATAGCTATCTTATTAGATGAACGATTTTTAAAACTTTTATGTCACCGAAAAGGTCTCGCCCAGGAGTATAATTGGCCATTAAAAGGGTTTGGAATTAAAAACAGTTTTAATTTATACCTTCAGTAATTATCTCAGCATTCAACATACTTTTACAAAAAATAAAATAAAAATAAAAGTAAAATGTATCCTAAAAACATTCACATTTATTAACAAAAATCACCATTGACTAAGCACTGATTGCTAGTGTTTTTTGCCAGTCTATCGATTGCTTATAAGCTGCTTATTATTTATTTAGCATACTTTGCATTTTTGAGTCATTTACAAGTTTTGCATAATTTAATTTTTTGCAGGTGTCTTGGATAAGGAAGCGGGATTTACACATACTGACCGCCGGTTCGACGACATATACATCAGATCAGCGATTTCAAGTAAGTTTGTTTTACAATGCAAAATACATTTAATATACATGCAAATCTTTTCTGAAGATATAACGATTTGATATCGCTGCGATTTGCAAATCTTTTTTCGATATTTGTAATTAAACTAATAAATGTTTCAATTGAAAACTGCTAAAAGATTATTATTTACGTCACATCAACCGGTTAAGTGCGAAATTGTTTCCTTTTTTTAAAGAGATCTTCAAAAAATATCCTGTATATTCGTTATATTTTATTTTATGAAAATAACAAGTAATTTTTAAGTAAATAAGTAAATAAAAATAATAATCTGACGAATTGATAACCTCCTCCTTTTTTGAAATCGGTTAAAAACAGTTGCTGAAAATTTTAATTTGTTCCTATAAAAATTTAACTTTATTTGTTTTCTTAGGTAATACGCCCGGAAAATTCGGGTAACTGGACATTGCAAATAAAATATCCACAACCGCGGGATTCGGGCATTTACGAATGCCAAATCAATACAGAACCAAAGATGTCTCTCTCATACACTTTCAGTGTAATTGGTAAGTAAAGTTTCCAACATTAAAGTTTACTTCAGCCAAAAAGCAAGAAATTGTAAGTTAAAAATAGTGTCGGATTAAAATTTACCTTTCACCTGTGTATGCAAGGAACATCATACTCCGATATAGTAGAGGGGAGCTACCTCAAGTTTTTTGATGGGAATGCACATTTATCAAACAGTTATCAGAGATTGCCGAAATAATAAAACACGTAACTTTAATAATTTATGATGAATATAAATTTTATGGAAATCGAATTAATAAATTAAGTTTGATTTTAAACAATGAAATACAATATCAAGTTGCAAGAAGCAGACAGCACGCTGTCGTTGCTAATTACCGACTACCGACGTACTCTCTCTGTGGTTCGCGCTCTTTGTTCGACTGCCATTCAATACCAGGATTGCCAAGTGTAATTGACAGCTCGGTCCTTCCTGATTTATCATCACTCCGGAATCTGGAACGATTTGTGATCATCATTCGCTTCAATGTCTGTCTCTTTCTCGGGCCCTATAGAACACCAAGGCTACATATTGTCGTTAGTGAAAACGCCTGCGTATGCCCTGTGAGTTTTCTGTACCGTTGGTGGGAGATCTTCTACTATGTAGTAATAATTGGGATGCAATTTCGTCACCTGATACGGACCCTTATATGCTGGTTCCAATGTTCCAATTTGCGTGACGTACCTGTGGGAGAAGGTACATTATCGATTAAAACTAATTCGCCTATTTTATATGGCCGTGGCGTTCGATTTAAAAAAAAAAACTCATTCACGTCCCTTTTTTTTTAATATCAAAACACCTTAATTCAACTTTGCAAAACAAATAAAAAGGATGAAAAAATACATTTCCAATTTTCCTCGGAAGTATAAATAAGTATAGTTTTGACTGAGTTACCCAAGTTTATCTTAAACTTATCTTAAAAAAATTATAAAAAAGCAGCATCAAAGATCTCATTATCATGATTCCGTTGAAAAAAAAATTGATTTTTACGCAGATTTTTAAAACTTAAACTGTTTTGTGATCTGAGAGGGTTTTTTTTAATTCTTTATTTTTATTTATAAAAAACTCAATTTTTGGAGGTATTTTCAAATCGGTCCAGCTCAAGTAAATCTTAATATTTTTGCGAAAAATTTTGGTGGACGCTTTCAAATATAATAAATTTTGTAATAAACCACAACGGTGTTTGGTAATGCAGTCTGAGGTACGTATGTTATTTAAATATAATTTTTCCTCAAAATTTCTGAAAGTAAAGTTTACTTAAATCCACTTTTAACAACGGAAAACGAAATTCGTATGTAGTTCCCTTATGCAACTTCTAGAGCTTATAAGCTGATTTAGCAAAAAGTTGTTAAATGTTCATGATTTTGGCAAAGAATGATTACTAAATTGAATTTTCACGACTTTTATGCCGAATGAATGTCTGTACATATATACACACATATAGTACATGCATATGTACATCTGTTTATGTATGAAACTATGCATGTGTGTAGATTTACAGTAACATATGTATGTATGTATTTAAATTTATATATATGTATACTTATGTATATATAGATCATATCATTATATAAATAGGCAATCATGTTTCCTTTACACCCCTTTTACGGCTAAACTATACTTCTAAGGTATAAACAATTATATATCATTAGAAAGGTATTTTGATGCTGATGTGCAGGCAATTTTTAAAATTTCAAATCAGTTTAAAATAGAGCGAAAAAATCAATTCAAAAGTCACACCAATACCAATGCCATACATGTACATGGTTGGGGCGGAAATGCCCCCTAAATGTATGCTTTAATATTGATAGCGAATTAAAGAAACGTGCTAAGCAGCAGTTTAGGAATAAGATGTATGTATGTATGTACATGAATAGATTAGAATCAAACAAGGAAGAAGGTAAAGTTGAGTATGGGGAAGAAGAAAGTGATAAATACAGAAATTAAAATAAAAGTAAAGAAACCTAGATATAAAGACAAAGAGGAAGGAAAATTTAAATACCTAACCTAATAACAATGGTGGGGGTGAATATGTAAATGAAGAAAAGAATGGACATATTTAGATCAGGATAAAGGAAAATATAAAGATGAAGACCAAGACGACGAAGATGAAGATGAAGATGAAGATGAAGATGAAGATGAAAATGAAGATGAAGATGAAGACGAAGATGAAGATGAAGATGAAGATGAAGATGAAGATGAAGATGAAGATGAAGATGAAGATGAAGATGAAGATGAAGATGAAGATGAAACACACCACAACTTAACCCCCACACCGTAATTCACCACACTTCAACACTCTCACCACACCTCAACTCACCACACCTAAATTCACCACACCTTAATTCACCACATCTCAACTCACCACACGTTAACTCCCCACACCTAAATCCACCACACCGTAATTCACCACACCTCAACTTTCTCACCACACCTTAACTCACCATACC